GAAAAATTGAAGGGGGTCTGAATACTTTCCGTACCCACTGTATATATATATATATATATATATATATTATTATATTATATTATAAAATGTTATTTTTTAAATGACTTGAACAGTGCTCTGTTACATATTCTGCCCCTCTGGTATTTTCAAAAGAAACAAACACGGCAGTTCGGATTTGAATCTATTTTGATTCACTAAAGAGTATGCCGTGTGTGAATCTGTGTGTATGTAAGAGATAGTATGTTTCAGAGCACAAAAACAATGAAAAATGTCTCCAGGCCTTAACTAAATCTTAACAAACCTCACTGTGGGGAAGCACTGAAAAGGAAAAATACAGAGTAAATAATGTCTTTATTCTCTTCTAAAAATACAACAAGTTTTATTTTTGGGTTGGGGTTAGTCTGCAGTAAATATAATTAGCGTAATTTAGATAGCGTAAGAACAATAGAAGTCTATGGGAAGCTTAGTTAGCTGAGCGTGTGTGTAGTGCTGAGTAAAGCAGCAGTGTGGGAAACCTCAAGTATCCCTCAGGTCACCACATCCCTGCTAACTCAACCCTCATGCTCACGCTGGCATCAACGTGCTGTGTCACTCCCACTTTCTCTCTGTTTTCTTCTTTTCTTTTTTGCAAGGCTCTAACTTTCTGTCTTAGCCATGTAATGTCACCATTTTGGCAAAGATTTCCTGCAACATGATTTAACATGACAGTGAAAAGCCATAAAATAATCCTTACGCTTTTTAATTTTTGTCACTTTCCATCCTCAAGTCTTTTCAAAGAGAGAAAAAAGAGACATCCATCCTCACCTGGATGGCACAGCCTTATATAAAATCTCTCGCGGCAGACATGTGCCATTTCTCTGTGCTTCTCGAGCTGCTCTCTGTTACTGCTGTCAGCGCAATCCAGCCCTCAGATTGTGGTTTACAGAGACAAGCAAACAAAAATACATTGTCCTGACCAATGTGATTTAAGACAACAAAAATAAAACCATGGTTTTTGTCCAGTGTTATTTAAGGGTGGCAAAACCAACAATTTTACATTATTTGGTCATTCTGTATTTGAATCACAGTTGTATTTAGGCAGTCCAAACACATTGTCATTTTTGGTCTGTGTTTAGAGCAAGCCAAAATTGCAAGTAACATTTTTAATTTTCATGACATGGCATGAGTTTGAATAACCGAACCAGTTATATCCAATGAGAACTCGACAATATATACTGGATGTATACTATATACAGTATAAGGAAATGGGAGTTCATTCATAATGTTTTAATTATTCTATTGTATTCTATTATATTCTATTCTAATCTATTCTATTCTAATGGCAGGAAATAAATAAGACAGATTAAATTTCTTAATTTAAATGAACACGTATTTTACAGGTTTTTAACAAAATCATATATATATATATATATCATATAGTCATATAGTCTCTTGACTGTATTTATTTAATAAAAAATACATTAAATACAATAATGCTGTCTTCTATTTTAATATATTTTAAAATGTAATTTATTCCTGTGGTGTCAAAGCTGAATTTTCAGCATCATTACTCGAGTCTTCAGTGTCACATGATACTTCAGGAATATTTTCAGCATCATTACTCGAGTCTTCAGTGTCACATGATACTTCAGGAATCATAATATGCTGATTTGCTGCTAAAGAAACATTTCTGATTATTATTAGTGTTGAAAATATATATATATATTTTTGTGTGTGTGTGTGTGTGGGAACCATGATACATTTTTTTCTGGATTCTTTGTTGAATAGAAAGTTCAAAAGAACAGCATTTATTTGAAATTAAAATTTATTGTAACATTATAAATGTCTTTACTTTCGCTTTTGATAATTTACTGTATCTTTCATGAATAAAAGTATTAATTTCTTACATTTTTTTTATTTACTGACCCCAAACTTTTGAAAGGTAGTGTGCATTAGGTGTAGGTCTGTCATTAGAAGGGTATATCTTGAACTAAAAGTAAATCGACCAAAATCCTGCAAGGTGCTCTGCTGGGTTTGATATTTCACATTCCAGTTGCAGCGAAATGCCCTGTCAATGCTTTTTGATGACTGCTCTGTGTATCTCTGCTCCTCTGTTCATCCTGTTCCTCTCGCAGGGTCATGGCACTCATGCAGGGCTGCATAGTAATCAGATTCTCATTAAGGTTTGTCTCTTCTCTGCTGCCATAGCCTTCATTTCCAAGCCACTCCATGTCTGGGACGGCTGTCTCCCTTCATGGCCCCTGAGATCTTGCTCAGTTCCCTCACTATCCCTCAGTCTGAGGTTTTCAGTGCTCTTATTGTTTCTCCTTTGTCTTTTCCTCCATCTGTTTTTCCGGGGTTTTCCTGTCTCCTTGTATTGGGGACTCACATGCACAGATGGTCTTTCCTCGTTACGATCACAGCTACATCTCGGCCGATCAGCCCAGTTTCCAGAGGCGTATGCTGAAGGTAGCATGTGTGCAAGGCATGTGCAGACACTCCCCTTACTAGATCTTCATCTTCCTCGTTTTTAACCCATGTCATTTTGCGTGATTGCTTGTGTTATTGTTTGTGTGTCTCAATATTTACAATCAAATAACCTCATCCATGTGTGAAGGATCAGAGCATTGCATGCAAGTTTGCTGCTTCAGTGAATGAGGCTGATGCAGGGTGGATCTCACGAAAAAATATCTGGGTCATATTTTGCCACAATTAAAAAACAACAATAAACTTTATATTTCGGATAAGGAAATGTAATGCGAAATAATGTCACTATGCAAAAAATTTGTGCTGGGCAATGATTAATCACAATTAAAATAAAAGTTTTTGTGTATATATGTGTGTGTACTGTGCATATTTATTATGTATATATAAAT